GAACAGCCCCCCAGGGCTCCCATAGATACCTTTATTGTAAAATGTCCAGATCCAGGCTTTTGTCAGCTGGGATTACCCCAGGCGATGGTGGAGCTGGACTCTGAAGGAGCCTCTTCTTGTTGTGCCAAAGCTTCAGAGAGGCCTGGAGCTCGGGGAGGGTACCTTGATGGAGAGGAAGGGAAGGGAGAGACAAACAAATTTTCACAAGCAACGGAAGTTTGTCAGCCTGACTTCTTGTGCTGTGCAGTTGGAGTCTTTGTGGTGTATTACTATGTGAGCTGGGTTTGAACGTTTTCCTGCAGCTGGATGCTCAGAGCTGTGCCTGCTCTTGTGTCTCATGGGATTTGGCTTCATGCTGCAGCTTTTCACTGAGCGTGAATAAGTTTTCTCTCTTTTTTTGCTGGCTGCTGGTTTTCATGAAACTTGTAGAAACTTTGTTCTCTAGGGCTTTTGTTTGTCTGTCAGACTGGGAGAAAATTGGCCAATGGGTAAAAGCAAGAAGTTGTTTGGGGGGCACAGCGAGACAGGCACACTGCAGGCAGACAGTCTGCAGGCACAGGAGAAGAGAAAATGTTAATCCTGGCTGAGTGTGCTCCTGCTCTGTGAAGCACCCAGAGGTGGGATGTTCTCCTTGCTGAAGTGGGGCCGTGCCACCACGTGGCTCTCCACGTGGGGCTGCAGGTGTGTGTGTGTAATCTTGTACCTTAGGAAAGATACAAGAAGAAATGTGTGTGTAAGATCTTGTATCTTAGGAAAAAGGTTGATAATCTAAAATCAGACCCATGCCTGCTCCTTCTCCTGTGTGGACGCAGGCAGTGAGAGTCACAGAGCAGAGGAGAAATGCCATGACAGGAGAGGTGGTTGCACACGCATGCTCCAGGAGGTTGATTTGTCCCTCTCAGCCATCCAGCCTCACTGTTTGCACATCTTTTTGCACTTGGGAGACTGATTACACTTTTAGCCTATCCCCATAGCTGAGGAGCTAAGGCTGCAGACAAACAAAATCCCCTTTGGTCTACCTGAAAGTGCTCTGAGATGGAAACCATCAGAAGGGAAGGCTCCTCAAAGCTATTGGGACAGCATCATCCTGCCTCTCTGCACCTCTGCTTCACATCCGTGTCCCTGGGATGAACAAATCTCATCATGATATTGGAGTTTGCTGGTTCAGGACTGTCTGGCATAATCACAGGGAAGCTCAGGCTGAGTACTACAGGAGTAAGAAGGATTTTATTAGCTCTCAGTGCACTGATTGATGCCCAGGTTTGGTGGAGAGGAGCTTCTCCACCTGGTGAGCTCATTGAGCCCTGCTGTGCTGACTGTGGGATAGCAGCTGCAGCAAGGGCTAAAACACCTCATGGCGTGTCGGGGAGATGGTACTGGAGTCAAACAGATAGTGTGATACTATAGCTAGTTGGGAAGGAAAATAATTATGGGAGAAGTTGCCATATCTCAGTAAATTATTTGTTATAAATCTTACTCTTCCAAGGGGAATGCTCAGAATTTGGTGCCAGAGCATGTTTGGGGAAAATCACATTTATTTATTTGATTACACAAATACTATGATTTTGTTGTATTGGATCAAATCTTTCTTCATCTTAATCAAGACCAGTGAAGAGATTCTTCCCCATGGCTGTTAGCTACTGCTGCTAATAATAATAATAATCATAAAAACAAACAAACAAACAAAAACCCACACAAAACAACCCCCTCAGCAACCTTCTCCCCCACCCCAGCAAACAAACAAAAGAACTGAATTGGATTAAACAAAAGTTCATTCAAGACTGGACTACTGTCCCTTGAGTTCTACTGCTTTTCACTGTGCAGTCATTTTTTTTTTTTTTTTTTTTTTTTTTTTTTTAGTATTGCCAGCAGCATGGTTTGCAGGCTGAAATACAGGATAGAGAGGGCAGTGAAATGCTGTAAGATCAAGGACAAGGATACGTGGGACAAAATGCATGGACTGAGTTTTTATAGGCTTTGTATATATAGCCAGAGCCTGTTCTGTGTTATAGCAGTTCCGGTGCTACCAGTGGTTTAATAAGGCACAACAATTTGTTTCATGGAAATCTTGTGTATAAGTATATATGCACACACAAGTTGATATATGAAGACTGTATTATATATAAAAATAAATAAATAAATGTGGCAATGCCCTTGCAGATGATAGGACCTCAGTCATGGCCTAAGGGAACAAGTCAGAGGAAGCAGCTGGGCAGGGTCACTTAGCCATAAAGAGTTAAACCCAAAGTTAAAGCAGGCATTGAGGGTGTCACTCGTGGAAGAGATCTTTTCTATCAGCAAGTCTTTTGTCAATTTTACACAACTAAAGCACCTCTCTTCCCCTCTGCTGCTTTAACAATGTGCTTTGGTGTGGATGCTAATCAGAACCACGGGTATGACAGAAGATGAGGTATCCAGTCTACTCACATGGTTAAACAACTTTAAGTACATGTGAGCTAGTTTATTTGCAGTTAAAGTCTTTAACTGCAAAGGTGAGTGATTAATAAAGGTAAAAGATTGAAGTTAAGATTAAAAACGGAGGTGGAACAGTTCAGTTCCACCTGCAGGTCACATCTCTGAAAACAGTCAGGCTTGGGTTGCTAAAATTAGGCAACAAACTTTTCTTTTTGTGTGCTTAGTAAATACTTGCTTTCAAATTAGGGAATTTGGTGGTGTTAGAAGTTTAGCAGATTCGATTATCAAGCTGTATACTTAATGATTTAAGAAGCTGAAAAGGCTAATTGTAGATGCCTGCTTTTGAAAAAATGCACTATTACCTATGCAGGTTTTCAGTTCCTTCATCTCTAGAATGGAGATAATATTTCCCAGTGCAGCCCTTGGGACTTTGTTAGTTTGAATGGATTAACACAAGACAAAAGCCTCAGCTTTTGGGAAAGTGCTATGGAAATACAGTATATTATTGTGATATCCTTTGAGACGTCTCTGTGAAGCCAGTGGTGACTGTCATGATAATAAAGAAAGCCTTAGAGAAGCTAACGAAATAATGATCCTACTTCCTTTCTAGCTATTCTTTGAAAGGGCAAATGCAATGAGTGATAATGGTTTAATGAGAGAGAGTCATTAGGGCATCCAGCCTGCATCTTTAGAAGTGCAAGGCATTTTGGGAGATCAGAAAATGACTCGGAGAATAAAACCAAAGTAGCTCCGTGAGAATATTAAACCCGTATTTGTGTTCTCTTTGAATGCTGATTGAAACCAGTGATCTCTTTCCCCGGCTGGTGGCTGGTACATGTGTACTCGTGCAAGTGGCTTGTTCAGAGCTTCAGCGATGTTGGAAGAGGGAGCCCAAGGAAGCGGCTTAGTACGTGCTGCCTGTCACTCACCGCTCTGAGCTTAGTGTTCACAGAATCACAGGATTGTCTAGGTTGGAAGAGACCTCAAGATCGAGTCCAACCTCTAACCTAACACTAAGTCCTCCACTAAACCGTATTACTAAGTTCAACATCTAAACATTACTGGGAGATTTCTGACCTGTTGGAGGCCTTGTGGAGTGCAATCGTTTGGCCTGGGTTATTTGGTTTTATTGAGCTGCTCCGATTGCAAGCCTTGCTGGAGGGGGAAAGCTGCTAATTTGTGTTGTATTGATACCTGGCGAGACAGAAGTTTCAGATGCATTGTGTGGGACACTGACATAGGAATACAGCATGGGATTGTGAGATGTTTCTGTGAAGCCCAGTAAGTATCAATACTGTACATTAGTATAAAAGGGTATTAAGTATAAATATAATAGCTCTAGTTTAGTGTTAGAGCTAAACCACAGCACACAGAATTTAAGACTTGAAGCACCCCTACTTGCTGGGTGTTCGAAGGAGGAAGCTTGCCTCAGCCCATTTAAGGAAAGAAGCAGTTCCTCACACATTCAGGAATTGTGTTTGAAATAAGCACAACAGCAAATGTGCTGCAGTGACATCTTTGCTAAAACAAGCTTCAGAGGTTCTGTGACTGCCAGACTCAGAAGCCTGACACCAGCTACCTGTTTTTGCAGCGTGGCTCTTTGGGTGTCGTTCTGGACTGCAGTGGCAGTGAGGAGCGTGGCGGAGCTGGGTGCAGACCCTGGCATTGCTCGGTTCCTGCAGCCACTGGAGCAGAGGTCTGGGGCTGCTGGGCACGGCGGCACTGCTCGTGCTGGTGCCATGAGGGTGACGTGGGCCTTTGCCCTGCCAGGCAAAGAACCGAGGGTCGGTCTTGGTGCTGACCGCTGCTCACCTGTGGGATCCTGGCCTGGGTAGTTGTTGATTTGTTCTAGTAGGAAAAACCTTGTTTGTTAAGAAAAGGAGAGTGTGAAAGCAGATGAGAAACAAGCAGGGCAAAGCGGGGTTTCAAGCATGCCCACAAACGAGGAGGAGGAAGCTACAGAAAACCCTCTGTGACGAAGCAGCTCTTTTCTCCAGTCACGAATGGGTAATGCCACCCCCAGAGCATCTGCTCCTCCGGGTGGGATTTGCTCGTGTAGGGGCCTGAATCTGTCTCTGTAGCTCAGAAAAATTAAATGCCTGGCACAGAGTAGGATGGGGGTGATTGAGGACTCAAGATGCCAGTTTAGGTACATTTTTATCTAGACGTGAGTTTAGCTGTTACAATTGTGAGCCACATTTGGATTCCCATCTCAAGGCGAAAATCAGCCTACTTAAAATTGTTGTTGATGGGTTTAATTTGGATTCTTCTGCTGGATTATTCTGAAAAGAGAATTTGTGCTAAGGGTCCCACACCTGTATGTGAGAGCAGAGCCTCCTTGAAGCCCACAGAGATCTCCATGAGCACACCACAGTTCCCCGAGTGCTGTAGGATCAATTGATGCGGTGACAGACCCTGTCCCAAAGGCTCAAGTTTTCTTCTTTTCTTCTTGCCACCCTGAATGAAGCAGAAAAGCTGAAGTTTTAAGAGTAATAACGCTCAAGCTATAACTTTGAGCATCTGTTCGCAGTCATTTCCTGCCCATAATAACCACATAAACTCTTTTTGTCTCCTCTTTTCTCCAGGTCAACAGACTATGGCACTACCTATGAAAAGCTAAATGACAAAGTAGGCCTGAAGACTGTGCTGAGCTACCTTTATGTCAGTCCCACTAACAAGAGGAAGGTAAGGGAGAGCTGTTGAGCTGGTAGCTATAGAAACAAAATTATGACTCTTTGTTCCTTCCGAGAGGAATTATGATCCTATAGTGGAATCCATTGGCATTTCATCGGAGCTTGAATTTGCTGTTCAAGTCACACTAGTGCAATTCCATGGTTTTCAGTAGAACTGTGCCTGTTTTACTGATGGTGGGGATGATGTCCTTAATCTCCTGCTGAAGGGGTTAAATAAGTAAAAGGTGTTTTTTTTTTTCTTTTTTTTTTTTTTCTTTCTTCTGACTCTTACACATTAAAGAAGCTGAACCCACACAAATGCTTCCAGGACTCTTGCTTGCACTGACTTATTAGCTAATATGCCTGTTTGCCTTCTCTGTTTCTTTATTATTAGCAATAACAGAGAAAAGATATTTCTTCCTATATTTGATGCTTGTGCTTTCCCTGGCTTTGTGGAGAAGTTGGAGGTAGAGATGTAAATGACATTTTCATTGGTTACATCATATAAGGGGGCCAAAAGGAGAATGTGCTGGGGCAAGTGGGTGGGAGACCTACGATGTGATTCGGCTGTGTAGGAGAGAAGATGAGGTCACAGCTTTCAAACCCCCTGCTCCTGCTTCCCACATGATGCAATTAGGGCTTAGGCTGGCTCACAGAGCGCAGCCCAGGAGTTACTGCTCAGTGCCTTTTAGGTTTAAAATTATTGCTTGTGCAGATTCGAGGGAGGTAGTGGGACAAAGGTGTTCCCAGCTACCCACAGAAATAAACACAGGAGGGCTGCAGCATGCAGCTAACTGCTGGCAGCAAATGGAGCTGTTTGGATGGGGAGCAGCACGTTCTGTTTCGTCACTTCCAAAGGGCCCAGCTCTTGTCTCCCTCTTTAGGTTTCCAAACTTGTATTCTGCTACTCCTACTATTATTATTACTGACACTGTTTTTTCCATCGTTGGTCAGTCTACAAAATTTTCAGGATTGATGTTTATTTCAGTGCATGCAATCTTAAGGCAGTCATAGCTCTGATTACTATAGGCAGCAATATGTGCTTTTGGGTATAGAGAGGAGAGCGAGAAGGTGGTGGTCAGAGGTCAGTTTAAATTTTTTTTGAGTGCAGAAATGGAATTCTCATAAAGACTGCCTTCGTTTCTTTGTTCTGAGCAAAATGAAATGGGGGTGTTTCATAATAACTCTCCTGGCCTTAATACCCCCTGCCAAAACCAGCGTGGTGGGTGCTGAAGAGTTAATTCTTGTTCCTTCTGTTTCCAAAGCAACTCTGCCCACCTGAAATCGGAGGCAATATGCTCAGTTACAAATCCTACGTCACTGGTGTAAAGTCTCCCTCACAAATTGGGGGTACAAGGGTATATGATTATCTTTAGCATTTCTCAAGCTATCAAGCTCTCCAGATTAGTGGTCTTTTCTCTCTTTCCTATTTTTTTCCTCACTAATAACACATATCATCATGTAGTGGCATGCAGAACTATCTTTACCCTCTGTTTTCTTATTGCAGATGACAATTTGTATTGGCTTATTTTTTTTTTGGTCTTATGTTGTTAAGAAATGATTTCTGGACCTGTCTGTCTTCCCCCCTCTCCTCCCTTCTGAAAAATCTTTTGAAGCAGAGAGGAGCTGTGAGGAAAATCCATAGGAAACCAGCTTTAGTGTGGCTGTTGTGGGAACAACTTGTTTTCATTCTTTCTACCTCTGCTAAATATAAGGACACTGTTACTGTGCATGGTTAAACAGGTGGTTAGTCTGAACCCAGAGCTGACCGCTTTGATCAGCAAAGCGATAAATTCATAAGCATAAATTCAGGTTTTTAGAAATTCTTGGGGAAGATGTCACTGTATTGGAGAATCAGGGATTTGTCAGATTCATTATTATCAGACTCATTTTATACCCACCCACAAGGTTGTGTCTGGCAAAAAAATGCACTTAGGTTGTAATTTTCTTCTGGTCTCTCTGGGTGAACATTGTTAAAATGGCCTGCAGAGTAAGCATCGCATTTTTACTGAGCTCCTGAGGGCAACCACCGATAATGAATCACAAAGCAGTTGGTGAATCTGTTTTACCCCAGCGGACAAAGTCTGGATCCCTTGTGCTTCCCCTCTGACAGCGGGAGTGCTGCCCAATGGCACACAATGCGGTGATCTCCTGTGGGCCTCAAAAATAAATCTCTGAGGCAATAAACAGTGGGAGACAGATACCACTAAGCAACAGGGCCTGTGTGCACGCAGTGAGTTGTGCAGGCCCTTTGCAGGCAAGGTATTTTCTCCTTAGCCATCAGATATTGGTAGGACCTTGTGTGCCTCGGCTCCTGTCGATTTCTGATGGGTTGCTAGCACTGTCTGCTCATTAGCGCTTAGAGGATTAGGAGTTACTTGGAGGAGGGGAAAAGCTTTCCATACATTCATTCCTAATTGATTTACTAGTGAGAAGGATAATTACCTCTCAGCTACCCTGCAGAACTACAGTGGGAATTACCTGTCAGATTTCTTTGAAGCCCTGAAATGCCTCTCTTCGGCTGTTAAATAGAAATTATGCATTCAGCCAAATGCCAGTTATATAAACATCATTTACCTGAATTGTGGCATAACCCTGGGCTCATTTAAAGTATGAGGAAAGAGGATTTAAACACTAGCTTTTTTTCTTTCATTTTCTTTTAAAATAAAAGCTTTTTTGTTTCCTTTTTAATTTTTGGTGAGTACATTATAAGTTTTTTTTTGTTGTTGGCTTCTGTCATATTTCAGTGCTCAGTGCTGCCAGATTATGGTGGAGCACTGATTTCTCAATAACATCACTGTTACTGCAGGATTGGGGGATTGGATGGGACCGGGCTTGAAATGCAGGGTTGGAGCAGATGGATGAGGCACGGGTATAACCCAGGGGCTGGGAGCATGTGTCATTCCCCTTTTCTTGGTCCTGAGAAAGACACAGCTGATGCTTACTTAACCTGTATAGAAGGGCATAAAGCCCTCAGGGATCTATTCTGCATTGTGGCACTCCAAACATTTGTGTTTTTCTTACAAAGTAGTTTACTTTCTGGAAGAAATACTGAGCTTAATACAATGATGTGGTGAAGTTCTGGATCACGTACTGCACAGGGATGTTGGACTTGATGACCTAATGGTTCCACTGGCCTTAAAATAATGAATTCTCTTTGGGTTTTATTCTCTCCCCCACGAGGTCATGTCTGAGCATCTGCTATGTAACATTGATGGCAAAAGCAAGTTCCCAGCTAGCTTCCTGTATATTTGTTCTTCCTCTTTTAAACTAAAAACTCTTGTTTCAGTTTAGGTTATATTTTTAGTCAATATTATTCATTTCATGTTCTCTTAGGCTTCCTGATAAGCTGCTCCTGTGTATTTTTCCCATCCCTCACTGGAGAGCCCCAGCACGGTGTTGAATATTGGCCCTGTCTGCATCTGGTGTCCTGCCATATTTTGAAACATCCTTCCTGCCACAGCAGACTGACAAATGCTGGAGCAGCCTGAAAGCAGCTGGCCCCTCATTCCTATCCTTTGATCCTCTGAGAAACACATCAGTCCCTATTGTTCATCCATGGGCAAAATGACAGTGGTGACATCACGCGTTTGTGCGTGAAGAGGAAAGTAGTAGTAGATGCAGTAGATGAGGGAAGAAGCTGAAGAAACACAGTCTCTAGTTTTATCATGGTGATAAATCCAGGGTGGCCTTAGGTCTCCCTGGCTTTGCTGCTGCTAAGTACCTAGAAATCAGGCTCAGTTTGTCAACGTTCGTTGGTTTTACATGTTGCCACTGGGAGGTATCAACCCTCCACAGACCCAGAGTTAATAAAGGCACAGAACCTCATAGGCTGAGCTAAGGTGGCTTTAGCTGCATCCTCCTGTGGTGCTGGGCAGAGGCAGCTCCTGATCCCAAAGCCCCTGCTCGCAGCTGGTGACTTATTCTGCTGATAGCCTGTTGGAGCTGAGATGGAGGATGTCCATGCAAGCTATTTCCTAGAAATTGTAAGTAGATGTTTGGAAAATGCTCTTTGCCTTTGTGTAATTTGAGGTTTTGCGGTTCATTATTATTATTTTATTACAATAATTTAAATTATTACAAGAGGAAATGGCCTCAAGGAGAGGTTCAGGTTGGAAATTAGGAGAAATTTCTTCTCAGAAAGAGTGCTCAGGAATTGGAACAGGTTACCCAGGGAGGTGGTGGGCATCCCTGGGGGTGTTTAAGGAAAGGTTGGACGTGGTGCTTAGGGACATGGTTTAGTGGGTGATATTGGTGGTAGGGGGACAGTTGGACCAGATGATCTTGGAGGTCTTTTCCAACCTTAATGATTCTGTGATTTGAAATGGGACCACCATGAAGTACTGCCATAAGGAGATGAGTGGACTGTGGTCTGCTGTAAATCCATAGCCTCCTGGCTTCACCAGAACAGAAATACTTCCTACCGTGAGCCAGGATGACTTCATCTTCCAGTGGAGCAGCTGCACTGTTCAAGCCCTTCTGAAATCTGAGGAGGTTGGGGTTTCACAGCTCTTTTTGCAGCTGGCCAATGTTCATATGGCCTTTATGTTGGTAGCTGAAACTGCCAGGCTTGTACCTGCTCTTCTGGCAGATGCTTGGGCTGTTTTCTCTTTCACTTCCACATTAAGAACTTGTGAAAGTGAAGAGGAATTTTCCTTAGATGAAGAAAATCTGCCTTGATTTCCAGATGATCATTAGACCTAGCGGTCTCTTAAGTCCTGAAGGCGATTGCTTTCTTAAGAGTTCCTGCTTGGAGCCCTAGTGAGAAGCCAAGGAGCCTGTGTTTGTGATATTCCCATACCCATGAAGATGCTCTAATTGGTAGAGTGTATTCCAGGACACATCTTTCTCTTCAGTGCATCCACCCACACGGTTGTTTGCCTGAGAGGCCCCATGAAGAAGTATCTGCTTTGGCACAGCCGACGTACACATTTTAACAAACCTGATAATTCTGTGGCGAACTTCAGAAAGGCAAAATATTCCTGTATGCTCAGCAGTACACCTTCCTGGCAG